CATTGGCATGAAGAGCTGCCAGGGGCTCGGTGCGTTCGGCACCTGAAGCCGCGTGGAATCAGACTCTCCTTCCTTGCAGGTCCCTCTGGCGCCGCTCTACCTGTCTGGCAGCCCTGTCAGCTGGGCCGTGCTTCCAGAGGTAACACCAGCATCGAGGTGTTGGAGGTTGCAACGGCGAGCCTTGCCATGCAGGAATGGGAAGGGCAGGGGGAGACGTCTTGGCGAAGTTGGCGTGGGAGGGAGAGCGAAGAAGCTGGGGACAGCAACTCAGGATCATACCGATGGACCGGCCAGACCCTTGACGCCTGAGCAAGTCTTTGTTCTACGATTCTACGAGGCAGTAGAGTGTGGCTGAGGTTGCAGCCGGGCGCGATGGAGGCTTTAGCCGCTGTGGAACTTGAACTCCGATTCCTCCTCGAAATCCCAAAAGAGCGCCTTCGGTGGCGTTTAACTCTCAAAGTCTTTTGAATCGATGTGGTGTGTTCCTTAGTCTTGTTCACTCCCTGAATTTGAGACCGCAGCCGATGGCTAGAAGTGGACGCAAGTGCGAGATCCAAGCTTCATCTGAATCTAAATCCTGCTGGTTATGCTAGGTCTGCAGGTTATCTGGCCTTTGGAGGGGGGTTCCGTCTGAGGATGACAACGGCCACCAGTTTGAATGTGTCAAGCAAGATCCTTTCGCTACTTGGCCGTGTGATGAAGCTCGTAGTGGAGTCAGCGAATGCAGTCCCGCCTAAGGTTTGCAGTCACAGGTCCGGCTCGATCAGGACTGGCAGGGCAAAAGCAGAGAGAGCTCGCAGCTTCTGCCCAAGCATGGCCAGGACAGCTCGGCAGTGCTGAGAGGCGTTTGCTGGGCAGTGCTGAGAGCAGCCTACTCGCATCAGAATCTGCTCTTCCGCTCGATCACATGGCGCTTGGGTTTTGCATGGATGACGCAGCACAGTCCGCCATGCGCCCCGTCTTTGGACGTCTAGGCACCTGGGAGGATCCCAGCGACCTCATCTTGCGCTTGAGGGACAAGGCCCAGGGAAGTGGACGATGTTTGAAGGTGACGTGCTCCGGACAAGCCGGCTTGGTGTTCAAAGGCAACTCGCAGAAGCCCCTTGTTGTGGCAAGTTCTGGACCCCGTCGGTGTACCTCTCGCATGCTCCTCAGGAACAGTCGCTGAGCAGAGCTGTAAGCTGTAATTAGCTTGCATCTCCTGAGGCCTTTGCCAGCATCAGCATTGAAACCCAACGCATCTCGCGGGTTGCCATCATTGAGAAGGTGACAGGGCCCAGGGCGGTGTTGTTTTAAGTGAGAACCCAACAACCAGCGGAAGCCTTGAACTGCGCACTCATGCCGATGGCTCCTACTACGGGGCACAAAAAATCCAAAAGTTGCCAGGAAGCTGACGGAGTTGGGGATGTCCAGCAGAAGCCAAGAATGAGCAGAATGCCCTTTTTCCTGGCAGGAAGTGGACGACAAGGAGGCCAACCTGCCAATCGCCTGCTTTTCTCTGCATGCAGCCATTTCCATTTCGCCCTTCCAGTCCGCCAGCGAAAGCAAGGGTAGCGAGAATAGCCTTGTGCCTCGCATCAGTCTTGAGCTGGCGACCTTCGTTTCACGACTTTGCAAACTGCACAAGTCCGCTGCCAGGCAGATGTCGTTGTCGTTGTGGTCATAGCCTCGCTGCCCCTCAGCTGCAGAGGAGGGCACTGGCCGGGCTTTTCCAGAGGTGCTGGGAGTCATCGCGAATGGTTGCAATTGGTTGTCAAGGCATGTGCTTTCCAGCGATGCTGCCATGGATTAGAAGTCATGAAGTCTCGTGAGAAGTCTCGCAGCTGGAGGCATCGTTTTTAACAGGCACAGCCGCCGCGCCGATGCGAAGCCGGGCTTCCACCAACACGGACATCAGCTCGGGCTCCAACCTCGTCGCCGTGCGCGTTGCCGTCTGGCCACTGAAAAAGCGAGAGTTCGGCAGAAGCCCCGAGGACGGACGATGATAATCGGGCATGCGAGCCCACTCGAACACGTCTCGACCAGAGACGTCGCGGTGCTCCACGTCGGCCCCAGCTTCGAGGAACATTGCTGAGATGGTCCCCTGACCTCTCATCGCCGCCAGCGTGAGTGCCGTGAATGCCTGTGTCTGCGAACACTACCAATGCACGTCCGCACACGGTTATACCCAAACGGCTTTCCCTGAAGGTCCCGCAACACCACGCCATTCGCCTTCCCCGAAGGCCGCGGCGCCACGTGCCTCCCCGATACGGCCCGCGACATCACGTGACACGCCGCGCATCCCGCAAATGCTTGCGAACGCTTCGTAAACGCTTCGTGAACTCAAACGCGGCTTCTTGTCAACTCCCGGACCTCTGGACCCCCACATTTAAAGCGAGAACCCTTCTGCTACGCATTCGGGACAAAGTAAAAATCCCTCGCTATGCAAGAACAGCTGCGGTTGCTGCATGGGACTTACTACAGGGACGACTAAGAACCCTCAAATCTTGGGCCGTCGGGTTGCTCGGGTTGGTCGGGACGGTTCGGCTGGGGCAATTGGTCCCCGATTCGCGGGGCGGTCCCCGATTCAACGGCCCCGATCCGTTTCTTTGGTTCCCGATTCGTCCCCCCCCGGTTCAAGTTTCTTGTTGCCGATTTGCCCCTCACCCGCCTGCACCATAAGGTGTTCGACCTTGCTTTGCATGGTGCTGGGCTTCGGTCTGTTCAAGCGGTTCATGAATAAGTGCGGCAGAGTCTTGGACAGCATTTGTTTACTTCATGCGTCAGCTTAGCTTGGCTGAACAAGGCGAAAAGCACATGCATGCAGACGGCCGGGGAAGACTGCCGTTGGGATTTCATGTCTTCAGCGTGCTGTCCGAGCTATGACAGTCCTGCTGCTAATGACTGACAAGGTCCGAACAAGATGGGTGCGCGAAAAGCTGACTGCATTCAGGATTTGCAGGACATTTGCAGGGTTCGCGTGTCGTCGCAGGGTAGACACCCTTTGTTGAGGGACGTGGGTTTAATTTTGTCCAGATGTGCTACTGTGTTACGGCGGCAGCAGTCGTGTAGCACAACCATCATTAACTGTGCAGGCACCGTGCGTGCCTGCCTTTGCCGGGCCCATCGGGGCCCTAGAAGTACGGGTCGCGCCAAGCCACTTTTCAGGCCCAAACACTAAGTGGGCAAGTCCAGCCTCAACCTTGAACTTCATAAGTTGTGGTCCTTGGCAGGACATTGACGTCAGTGAGGCGACACAGGATGAGGACGAACATGCAGATCCACCAGTCGAATTTGCTGTAGACCATGGCCGAGGTGGACATGGTGTTGAGGAGCCTCATTGGCACTTAAGGGGTTTAGGGCAGATCCACGAGCGGCACCACAGCGTATCATCGACAAAATGAGCTGATGTCCATGGGTCCAGAAGCCTGAAGGGGGCCCAAGAGAATCCCCTTCAAAGGACCAGCAAAGCTACCCCTCGCAACACCATGACGCGTCCGCCTCAGCCGTGCATCCCATGTTATCTTTTCCAACCCTTGAATGCTGCATATCTTATCGTTTCTCGGCGGGGTTGACATTCAAGATTAAAGACGTAGTCTACCCAACTAGGAAGAGACTAAATCAGTGCTGTACTGTTTCAACTGTTTCTGTGTTCCAAGTACCAAGTCAGTGCTCAGTATGAGAATTCACCAAAGGATAAGCGCAGTTTGCGCAAAAAAAGGCTTACAGGGAGCCAGCGTGCAATGGTGACCAAGAAAAATTTGATGGATGCAGTAGGTACTCAGGAGACTCCTCAAGAGAGGCGGGAGTGCCCGATTTAGGCTTAGAGTCCGGGGAATCGGTGTATGTGAGAAGGCGATGGGCTTTGGCAAATTTGGCTCTTTCAAGAACAATAGCGAGCAACATACGCTGCCGCTGCAGAACACAGTCTTGCAACTCAGTGTAGGCTTTTTTGGCTTCATTGCTGCATCACAATGCGAATTTGCAGCATGCTTGGTAGCAAGCGCAGCGCAGCGATAGAGAACGTTGCGCTCGGGACCTTCGAGCATTTCAAGCGCTGCATCCAAGGCGGAGCCGGGTGCTGCAAAGGCTAAGCAGACCGGAGAAGTGGCAGAGGACGGAAAGCGTGTAACAGATGTTTGCTGGCCTATCACCTCTACAAGTTTTGAGACAATCGGAGGTAATCCTAGCTCACTGCCCCATGTTTGAGACACTTTTAAGGCATCACATGTTTGTTGAATTCGGTTGGCCTGGTGCCGGCTTGCCTTGCTCGTGCTGGAAGGCGGAGAAGA